TGAACCTTGAAAACAAGCTAAGTGAAAGAAGCCAGACACAAAAGGTCACATAGTGTGTGATCCCATTGATATGAAACGTCCAGAACAGGGAAATTCATAGAGACAGAAAGTAGATTACTGGTTGCTAGGAGCTGCGGGAGGGAGGAATGGGGAGTGACTGCTCATGGGGATGAGGTTTTCTTTTGAAGTGATGAAAATGTTCTAGAACTTATACATTACATATAGGTGGAATCATATAACATAGCCTTTTGCATCTAGCTTCTTACACTGATCATGATATTTTCAAAGGTAATAGTCACTTTCACTGCTGTATAGTATTCCACCATAGGAATAGACCACAAATTATTTATCCACTCTCTTGCACATACTACATTTTATAATCAGGAAATGTGCCTAATAAAAGTAGTTTAAGAGTACTTCACCAACACAGTCTTCTTTCTTTTTGCCACCCCCACCGACTAAACACGTAATCTTGGACAAACCATTTTTTCTCCAGGGTCCCTTTCCTCTGTTAAGTAGGAACCCTAATCCCTTCTTGGCCCAACCCCTACAAGGGTTGGAATAGAATTTTCCCTCCTCAATCTCACCCTGGAGTTTTAAGCCCAAAGAGCACCTTCTCCCTGCCCCCAAGGTTGTCTCAAGTCTCAGCATCTACCAAGGTTCTACAGAATGAATGCTCTTCTCTCCAGGGCGTCTATTTAAAACACCACCAGCTGAGAGTTAATCCTTCGGAGCAGCTGGTGGGTCCTGCAGGGGCCGGGTCAGGTGTGGCACCCATGTTTTGCAGAAGTGGATATCTCTGCATTTAAAAATAACCCCCAGGGTTGAATTCTTTCTTGTGCCCTCTGGGACCATCCCAGGGATGGAGGCCAGGGAGTGGGGGTGGGGCGGGAGCCTGGGTTATGTGGGAGTACAGCAGGCTCCCGTGTTTGCATTAGGGGCGAGTCCTGGTAGAAAAGTCACATGCCTGGAGTTTGGCTCTGCTGCTCACTCTGGCGTGGCCTTAGGCAAATGACTGACCACCCCCTCCAGCCTCAGTTTCCTCTGCTGTCAAAAGAGGAGAATGAGAGGACGCCCTCACTAAGCTGTACTGACGATTCTGTACTTCTTATCTTTATCACTACCCTCCCAGTAACCCGAGAAGGACATGACGAGTCTCCCCATTGCCACAGATGAAAAGACTGAGGCTGACAGGGGCAGCCTGCCCTGAGGATCCACAGCAAGGCAGTGGCTGAGAAACTGTCCCCCTGGCTCTTTCCGTGTGCCGTACTCCTTCTCGGTTTCTCTTGCTGGGTTTTGGGGCAGCACCAGGAAGCAGGAGAAAGGTGGTTTTCAATTCCAGGTTTGCCACCAAAGCAGTCCCCTCTCCCTGGGAGAGCTCTGGCTCGCCACTCCCCTCTCTGGGGCTCAATTTGCTCGTGTGTATAATGGGGGTGCTGTCTAAAGTGACTAACCATCCTGGTTAGCCTGAGATCCAGGGGTTCCTGGAACATGGGACTTGTGGTGTTTGTCTTGGGCAAACCTGGGTGAGTTGGTCACCCCAGCGCTATCATCCATTTCAAAGGGCACCTGTGAGGATGACGAGAAATTGCTTAGTGCTTAGCAATTACACGAGTTATTTCTGGAGCTAAACTGAAATGGAAAGTACCTGTGGGTGGAAATGTTAGTGGACAGATTTATCAAAATCAGCTCTGCTTTAGGAGGGAGGAGGAAGCCCGGATGGGGTCCCTAGTTCTGGCCTGTAATGGGCTCCACGACACTCCCTCTCCAGGGGTCAACGTCCCGTCTGTGGATGGCAGGGACTTCCACAGGGCACTTTTAGCACTGCTTGACATTCTATGCTATTTAGTCTGAGGTGTAAACACGTGAGCTCTATTTACAGCGTCTCTCAGCGACTCTAAGACAAGTCCTCTTCTCTTGAGCTTTTGAGCTCAGCTCTCTGCCTCAGTTTCTTTCCCTGTAAAATGGAGATGGCAGCCCCTGCCTGGAAAGGTTGGAGGATGAGCAGTCCCAACCCTCAAAAAGCTTACAGTTCAAACCAGAGATCAAGGAATGGTTCTCTTTGGCCCCCACAGCATTTTTAAAATGTTCAAACTGCAACCAAGACGTCCTTCAATAGGTGAATAATTAAACTGAGGTATGTCCATACCATAGAATATTCTTTAGCGCTAAAAGGAAATGAGCTCTCAAGCCACAAAAAGACATGGAGGAAGCTTAAATGCACATTGGTAAGTGAAAGAAGCCAATCTGAAAAGACTAGAGACTGTATGATTCCAACTCTATGACATTCTGGAAAAGGTGGAATTATGGAGACAGTAAAAAGATCAGGGGTGGTGGGGGTTTGAGGTCAGGGGTAGTGGGAAGTGATGGATAGGTAGAGCCTGGGAGATTTTTAGGTTGGTAAAACCATTCTGTATGATACTATAATGGTGCATTCATGTCATTATACATTTGTAAAAACCCATAAAATGTACAGCACAAAGGAACCCTAATGTAAACTATAGACTTTGGTTGATAATGATGTTGATAATAAATGATAATAATGATTACATGATAATACTGATGTTGGTTCATTGACTGTAATGAATGAACCACTCTGGTGCAGAATGTTGATGGGGGGTGCTGGGTGTGTGTTGCGGGGGTGGTCAGAGAGTATACGGAAACTGTACTTTCAGCTTAATTTTGCTGTGGATCTAAAACAGCTCTAAAAAATAAAGCCTCTTAATTTAAGAAAAGAAAACCAAAAAGTGTTCAAACAGTCAACATACAAACATAGGGAGGTGCAAATCACATTTCCAGCTTCCCTTGAAAAATCAGTTCTGGTGGTTCCTGCCCCAACCAGGTAGAGATGCTCATGGCTGGATCTCACCCGTGGACGGTTCCCCGCTGGTTGGCCCACTGCTCCCCATATATCACCTGTCTGCCCTTGGAAGCATTGGAGTTTGAGACTCAGTCTAGATCAGTGGTTCTCAACTGGGGGCAACTTTGCCCCCAGGGACACTGGCAATGTCTGGGGACATTATTAATTGTCACAATGGAGTGTGCTACTGGCATTTAGTGGGTTGAGGCCAGGGATGCTGCAAAACATCCTGAAATGCACAGGACGGCCCCACCACATAGAATGCTCTGGCCCTAACTGTCACTAGTGCTGAGTTTGGGAAACTAGCGCAGAGAGCCAGTTCTCATCTGGGGAACTTTAAAAAATGCTGATGCTGGTGCCACCTCCAGTGTTTCTGATTTAAATGGGGGGTGGGGGGTGGGGGTGGGAGTGCCTGGACAAGAGGACTTTTAAAACCTCCCAGGTGAGTCTAATGTGTAGCCATGGTTGAGAACCACTGGTCTGGAAGGTTCTTTGGATGGGTCAAGGCTTAAGGTATCCAGGATTGTCTTTCATTCATTCACTCATTCCTTCAATCATGCAGCCAGCACCCATGGCTGCCTTCTCTTTTCTTGCATAGAGCTAGGGGTCCTGGAGGTGAGCCAGACGTGGACCTCCCTGCCCCATTAAGGAACTCCACATTTCATAAGGAGCTCCAGCCTCTCTTAATCCATCACTTCTCAAATGTTTAGTGTGCCACAGTTGTAGATTTTCTAAGGTGTGCTGAGTTCTATACTCGCTCAGGGGACTGGTCTGAGCCACCAGAAATTCATCCCCAGACAGGAAATACAGCCCCATGTTCATGCTAAGACAGTACAAAGCTTATTTTGCTTTGCAAAGTAACCGTTCTCCAGAAGAGCTTTTAAAGAAACAGGCTCTGGCACGTGGACCCGCAAAAATAAAACGGAACAGAAACGCTTAGTGAGCAGAGTATGATCCTATTAGCATAAGATCACACATTTACATCAATAATTACAGGGGTATAAATGTTTAGAAGAGAGGTCTGGAAGGGTGGCCACCACATCCGCTGTAATTATCTCTTTTTTCCTTTGTGCTTTCAGCTGGATTTTTAAATATACACCAGCACCTATTTTTATCATCTGAAAAAAGAAATAAAGCTATTTCCATTCTGAGAAGAGAATATAGGGGTAATTTGCATCTAAGTGGGCGAAAGGCTCACAAAGTTTCAGGGTGATTGATTTTTTTTTTTTTGATTGATCTTTTTTCTCAAGCTAAATTCTCTAGTCCATTTAGTGTGCTAGAATAATTAAAATACTAGGAGATGAATAAGAAACAGTCAGTGAACCCTGTATAAAAATAGAACACACTCTAAGGAGGCCATTTACCATCATTTTAAAAATGGACTTTTAAAAAATCCAAGAAGTGAGATCTTCCCTCCTGAGAGTCTCCATGGAGGTCTGGAGCTGGTAGAGGAGGCTGACCCCAAACCGCTCTGCCCTAGGACCGATTCTGCTCAGGAAGTGGAAAGGATCCGGGTCGGGGCTGAAAGCATTCCCGCGGGCGCGGAGATCCAGCAGGGTCCGGGCCGAGGGGAAGGGAGGGGAGGTTGCCCCATGGCCGCAGCGGGGAGGGGGCACCGGTGTCATTTTCTCTGAAGCTGAGCACGGCCAGCCCTTATATAGACACTCAGCTGCCGCTCCCGTTCCGCGGGCCAAGGGCAAGGAAGGAGGTCACGGCTGCGGGCGGCCAGGACATCTGGCCGGGCCGGCAGCGCCGACCCCCGCCTGCGCCCTCACCAAGACAAACTCCCCTTGCCCAAGTTCATGCGACCCTCCCCCGCCAGGATCCCTGACCTTCTCTCCCTGCCCCCTCCCTAGCACCTATTCCCCCTCCTCTGAACAATCACGTTCCTCTCCTTCCCTCCAGCCCTCATCTGCTTCCCCTCCCCCAGCCCCACCACCCCCGGGGCTTCTCTCCTTGCCCTCCCTCACGTCTCTCCCCCATGCCCGCCCCCGTGTGGGAGAACCCTATGATCCCAGCACCTGCTTGCTCCCCCAGACCCTGGGACTGTCCCCGCCTGATACAGGGCTTCCCCTCCAGACCCCCGGGTTCACCCCAAGCCCGCGATGCGAGGCCCCTCCAACCCCCGGCCCTGGCTCACCTGGCTCATACTTGAGGTAGAGGATGGAGACGATGAAGTAGCTGAGGTCGAAGACGGGGAATAGCGGCACGCGGGAGAAGCTGAGCGCCAGCTCGCCCAGGCTCAGCGCCGACAGCAGCTCCATGGCGCCCACCGGGTCCCACCCCAGCCCCCGGCCGGGTGCGTCCCCTTCCCGCCGCCGGGAGACTGCGCCCCAGCCACTGGGCCCGCCCCACCCACCAGGCGCCACCCCCAACCCGGCCCCGCGGGAGAGGAGGGGCGACCGCTGGCCCCGGGCGGGGGGCGGGGCGGTGTGTGTGTCATGCGGCCGCCCCGTCCAGGGAGCCGGCCGGTCAGGTGTCACCTGCTCTGTCTCTCGGGCCACCACGACCCCATTCAGCCCCGCGAGGCGGGGTGCGGGGCCCTATGGAGTGAGAGCTGGACAGGGGAGCTGTAGACTAGGGGGTCCGTCCAGCACGGAGCCCACCCAGGCGGGACAGATCAGTCAAGACCCCACCCCGTGGAGCTCGATTAGGACCCGCGTCCTCTGTGGAGCGCTCGGATCCGGACCCCTATGCCCCGTGGGGTCCGATCATTGTAAACCCCATCTCTCCGTGCCCCACAGGGTCAGCTCGGTCAGGACCTCCGTCCTCGATGGAGCTGTCATGATCCCACTCCTCCGTAAGTCATGGCGTCTGTAATTCGTGGGGACCCCCGTCCTCCGAGGGACCCCAGCCTCCGTAATGCCCGCCTAGTGGGGATCCCCGCCTCCGTGGGGCTCAGGAGGACCCCCTTTTGGAGTCCAATCATGGGAGTCCATGCCCGGGAGAGCACACTGCGTCAGGACGCATTGCCCCGTGCTGCTCAGTGGTCAGGGGGCCCGGTTTCTCCAGAAGCCCGCTCCGAGACCGCAGCAGAGAAGGAAAGGCCGCCGCGCTCCTCCTCCAGCGAGCGGGTCCCTCAGGCATGCGCGGCACGCTGCCAATCCCGCCCCAGATGGCTCCGCCCCCCCAGGTGACGCCACACGCTCGCTCCGCCCTCTCCTCGCTACGCTCCGAGCCCTCTCAGCGAGGAGGCTGGCTCTTCCCTAAGGGGGCCTGGCCTGCAGAGGGCGGGACCCTGTCTGCCTTGGCCTTCGATTGGCTCCGCCTTTGCCAGCTCTGCTTCGAGACTGGTCGGCTCGTGCTCCTCCCCTCCCGCCCTGGGGCTTCCGCTTCCGGTTCCGACTGATGCTGCCGCCGTAACGATGATCGGAGACATCCTGCTGTTCGGGTAAGTAGGGCGACCAGAGGCCGGGGCGAGAGGGCCCGATGGGGTGGGGGCGGCCCAGGTAACGCATTTTCCCTCCGCAGGACGCTGCTGATGAACGCCGGGGCGGTGCTCAACTTTAAGCTGTGAGTAGGCCGCGTCGCACCGCGGCTCTACGCGGGGACCCGCTGGCCCCGCCCCCGTGCTTAGCCCGCCCCACGTCTTAGGCCCGCCCCCAAGTCCCAGCCCGCTCTCTGGCCCCGCCTCCATCGTGGTTCGTCCTCCTGTGACCCTCCGCCCTGCCTGCACTTTAAATCCGGGCTCACCGTTCCTCCCGGTCCCTCTGGTCGCGCCCCCGGAGAGCCTCAGGTCCTCTCCTTAAGAAACTTCTGGCCCTACCCGGAACCCTCAGCCCCGCACCCGGCACCCTCGGACACCCTGTCGGCGGCTGCAGGCCTGGCTGTGATTGGCAGGGCAGGTGGTGGCCCAGAGAGGGTCACTGAACCATCCAAGGTCACACAGCAAGTCAGCGGTAGGGCTAGAGCTCCCCTCTGAGCTGAGGGTCAACTGAGCGGTCTTTATGTCCCGTTGAAAGTGGACTCTGCTTCTCTTTGTAGGAAAAAGAAGGATACACAGGGCTTTGGGGAGGAGTCAAGGGAGCCAAGCACAGGTAAGGCCTCCTTTCTGGACTCTGGAATTGGTCCGTTTCCGAGAGGACAGTTCTTTCTCGCCAAGTACTATCCCAGTTTTCTTTTTAATTGTGTGCGTCTGTGTGCGTGTTGTGTGATGGGCCTGAGGATATGCCATTTCATCTGCCTACCTGTCACCCACTTCTTCCTACCAGACCTCCCTGCATAGGTCAACACTCAGGTCACTTCCTAATGTTCTAGTTTTTTAATGTATGCTGTCGTCTGGCTAATATCTGCCCCTCACACTTGACCTTAAGCCCCGGAGAAGAGGCTGCGGCTAGTTTCAGCTCATCCCTATGTCCTTGCAGTGCCAGCACTCCAGCAGGAATGCATGTATGAATGAATGAATGCATGGATGAATGAATGAGTGAGTGAACAGCCTCACAAGTAGCTGTTTTCAGAGTACTGTAGAGCTGTTGTTCTGTAATTAGATGCCAACAGTAGCTTTCTATTAAGTCAGGAGATATAAAAAATTCAGATGTCTGATTTTTCAAGAAAAATTGGAACATACTACACCTCGGGGTTCAACGACCTTTTGGCATCTATTGGATGGGGATTGAGAAGCAGGACCCCATTGAGGCAGGGCCTGTGGCCTCTACCTCCTCCCAGCCCCAGCCCTCTTGTCTTTACAACATCTCACCTGCCTGGCCCCCGGAGTCCCTGGAATTTACACTTCTTGCTGAATTTGTTCCTGTGACTATTTGGAGTCTAATGGGACCTGTCCATGAGTATCGTATTCATCCATTCATTCATTCATTCACCCAGCGTTTACTGAGCACCCACTACGTGCTGGCCACTGTGCTGGATGCTGGAGACAGAGTAGGGGACAAGACCGACATCATTCCTGCCTTCTGGGTTGTACTCCCACAGGGTGGGACAAACAGTTCCTACTGGAGGAACAAACGGTGAAGGAGGGGATGTCAGGTGGGATGGCGATGGGGTTGCTGCGCCAGCTGGGATGTGTGGAGGGAAGGCCCTCTGAGAGGTGGCATCGCAGATGAGGCAGTGGGTCCCGTGATAGAGCTTCATACAAGGAGGATGGGAACCCTGAAGAGCAGTGGTTTTGAAGACAGTCCGACAGCTCCCCTTCACTGGGGGCCTGCCTGGTTGCAGCTGCCTTATTAGGTGCTTCCTGTGGGTATTTCACTCCATCCCTAAAAGGTAAGGGCATTTTCCCATTTTACAGATGAGGAAACTGAGGCTCAGAGATGTGGTTCGACTTGCTTGTGGCCACACAGCAAATCAGTGACAGCATCAGGATTGGAACCTGGGTTTTTCTGATCCCAGAGTTGTACTCTGAGTCGCTGGACCATCCATCTGTTCATTCATTTATTCATTCATACATTCATTCAGCAGCTGTATGTATTGTGTACCTGCTCCTTGGAATGCAGTCTACCAGGCCTTGAGGCTGTGGTCTACAGATCTGAATCGGAGCTGTGATGGGTGGGAGATTGGGCCTGAGGGCTCAGAAGTGGCAGAGCAGCAGTGACAGGGACAGCCAGAATGGTGGCTGTGTTCTGATCAGGGGCTCCCTGCAAGGCTCCCTCTAGCCAGGGCTCTGCGCCTGCTGCTTCCCCTATAGAGAGTGTTCCTTGCCCTCTGTTCTCTGCCTGGCTGACCCTAATGCCGTAGCGGCTGCATTTATTGAGGGCATGCTGTGTGCCGGGCACTGTGCTAAGGTCTTTCCAGCCCCTCATCACCCCTGTTTATGTGGCAGGAAACTGGGGCACAGAGAAGTCAGAGACTGGCCCAGGTCACCTCCACGGAAGGGCAGTAAACTCTTGTCCATGTTTAAGGTTGGAGCTCATGCGCTTCCTCAGAAAGGTTTCTTCTGACCCTCTCCCCTCATGCACTGGGTCGGGTGCCCCCAGTGCACGCTCCTGTGGCACTCGTCACAGTGAATCATCATGTGTCTGATTACTTATTTAGTATTTGTCCTTGCTGTGAGCTCCTTGGGGCAGGGCTACCTATCTTGTTCCTCCCTGTATCCCCTGCACTTGGCTGCTGCCGGAAACTAGTGGACTTCAGTTGGCATCTGTTGATAATGGGAGAGCCCATTTTCGTGATCTCGGGCTTGGAGAAGGGCCTTGCAGAGCAGCACCTCTCAGACATCCTGGAGATGGACCCATCTCTTACATTTGTAGTCCATGCTAGGCCAGCACTTACGTAGGCTGTGCCGCACCTGGCTAACCCTATGGGTTGGATAATACTGGATTCGTCTGAACCGTGTTCAGTAAGACCACACACTGATCACACACTTGGGTGGTGTAGCAGCGTTACGTGGCTGTCACGTCGGGTTGCTGTGGAAATTTCCCAGCTCATGCTGGTCTTCCACCTTTACTGGATAGTCCCAGTCTGCGATGATGCTTTGTCTAGCACCCTTGTAGATCACCTAACCTAGACCTGTTTCATTTTGGAGGCCTAGAGAGGGTGGGTGAGCAACTTGAAACCCTGGAGGAAGGTTCTGGAATCCAGGTCTCTGAGTCTTAGCATAGCAAATTGCCTCCTCTTGGAGCGGTTTCCGTTTCTTGGCATCAGAGGGGACAAGAGTAAGTCATCACCAAAGCAGAACTCACGTTTTCCTTGTCTGAATTAGTATGCTTTTAGTTGCAAAACACTAAAAACCCAGCTCAGAGTGGTCAGAACAAATGGGAACATCCGAGGGTAGAACTGTCTTCAGGCCACCTGGGTTCAGGCCCCAAACCAGCCCTCCGGCCTCTGCCTGTCTCTAGCTCTCTTTTTCGTTCTGGGTTGGTTTTATTATCAGGTTGGCTTGTGTTGACAGAAATGACCCCAGAGTAGGGCTCTGCACGTTTCTGTAAAGGGCCAGACTGTAAATATTTTAAGCTTTGTGGTACATGAGTGTCTGATACTACAATTCAGCTCTGCCATTGTAGCTTGAAAGCAGCCGTGGACAATACGTGAATGAGTGAGCATGGCTGTACGCCCATAAAACTTTATTTATGACACTGAAATTTGAATTTCATGTAATTTTTGCATCTCACAAAATCTGTTTTTCTTTTTTTTTTTAACCATTAAAGAAATGTAAAAAACCATTCTTAGCTCCTGGGCCATACAGAAACAGATAGCAGGGGCCAACTTTGGGGCCCTGGGGTGTTGTTTGCCGACCCCTGCCCAAGGGGACTGGGCTGACGTCCCCTAAGCCCAGCAAGCCTGGCGGAAAGCAAGTGTCCCGGTACTTGGGGCAGAAGTCCCAGGGCTGACTCTCCCCTCTGTGAGCCAGTCAGAGGCTGGGGGCTTGGTGCTCTCACGGGGTTGGTCAGTGGCAGCCACAGCCTGAGTGCTGAGGGTAGGGGAGCAGAGGAGACACAAAGAAAAAGCCGTGCTGCCCCTGGAACATGGGGCAGGGGCTGTGGGGCAGGCAGAGACCTCAGAAGCACACTGCAACCTGGACCGCGGAAATGTCACCAGTCCTTGTAAAAATGCTTTCTGACTTTCCAGGGGACAACGTCCGGGAGTTCTTACTGAGCCTCAGATACTTCCGAATCTTCATCGCCCTGTGGAATGTCTTCATGATGTTCTGCATGATTGTGTAAGTCCGGCCTGCCCGTTCCCTTCAATGTCATATCCTCAGCGTCATTCTCCAGAATGATCCACCTGATGCTTATTCTCTGTATTCTCAGTCCACACTTTTGTGTCATGCTTTCTGCTTTCAAAATAAGAACCCTCCAAGCTAGAGAAGAAACCAGGGTCTACAGGGGTTAAACTATGTCACCACGATGCAGACCGGAGCCCCGATTGGAACGTGGCGTTCTCCAAGTCCTTGGGTGCCTGGTGCCTCGGCAGGGCTGCCAAGAGATGCCTTCCCCTGAGCTGTAGCCCTGTCACCCTCCCCAGTTCTGCTGCGCTTACCATGTACTCAGCATCTGCCAAGGTGGAAAATGTGGCATGAACGGCCAGTGTGCTGCTGGGTCCTTCTCTCGCCCTGCTGGAAGCCACCAGAACTGTATTCAGACTTCTGTTCTCATGCCTGTTTTCATTTTTCTAATTAAGCTAAAAAAAAATCCAGTCGGGTTGGTTTTCCTTCCAGTGTTGGGGACATGATTCCGATACTGCTGTTAATGAATTGTAAGAGTCTTAGTAAACAGACTCGGAAGAAACAGTAGAAGAATCTGGCATTCTCTGCCATTCTGAGCTCATCCCCATATGCTTTCCCCAAAGAGGAAGAAAATGAAAAGTGGGCTGTCTTGAGTAATTGACATTGAGTAATTGAGTCGGCTGTCTTGAGGCTGAATTTGGGGTTGCTGGGCAGTCTTTGTGCCAGGCCAGGGGCTCTTTGAGGAGATGGTTCCGGGACTTAGGAGATCGGGGAAGGAGGGTTTCACTGTGCCACTGAAAGTGTTTTAGAGCCCAGAACGAGGCCCGTGATGTATACCCAGAGAGGCCCTTTTTGGGAGCTCGGATGAGGCCTGCCCAGATACAGAGAGGGCTCGCGAAAACAACAAGGAATTTGCAGAAGAGCATGGGAAGCGTGAGCAGGACTCACAGGAAGTGAAATAGGGTTACTGGCTCCTCCAGCCTTTATCTCTAGCTTCCCACCTATCCATTCATTGATTCCTTCATTCACAACTGTCCATCGTGGGCTGTGCTCTAGGGTTATAGCTGAGACCAAGATACCTGTAGTCCCTGCCATCAGTGAATGCACAGGATAACAGGCAGAACAAGGAAAGAAAACAAGTGGATAGGGATAGGAAAACTCAACTGTGAGCTGGCTAATGGGAGGGGGGCTCCCAGTTTAGCAGGTATTGGGGGGAGGCTTACTGAGAAGGTGCCATTTAAATCAAGACCTAAAGAATGAGAGGAATCCTGCCATTTGCAGAGCTGGGGAGAGGCATGGTGGCAGCAGAAGGAGCATGTGCAAAGGTCCTGGGACAGGGAAGAGAGCAATGTATTTTCATCATTCTGTTTTTTTCTGTCCGTTGGCTTCAGTGTCCTCTCTTGCCCGACTAGCTTGCTTCAGTGCTCATCTGCTGGCCTGTGACCAGGGTGGCAGCCTCAGGCTCCATGACCTCCCAGCTCAGCTCCCCAAGGCCAACATAGTCAGTAGCCCATGTCCTGATTTCATTTCCTGGGAGCAGAGTCTGATTGACCTAGCTAGGTGTCACCCAGGCCCAGTTGGATTGAGGGTTCCTGATTCCAGCATAACCACTTGGGTCAGGGGTCAGCAAACCACAGCCCATGAGCCATATGTTCCTGCTGCCTGTTTTTGTGAATGAAGTTTTATTGTCATGCAGCCACGCCCATGCCTGTGACTGCTTTTGCACTACAGTGGCATGGTTGGGGCATTGAGACAGAGGCCGCCTGGCCTGCAAAGACTGAATTACTTACTGTGTGGCTTTTTACAGAACAAGTTTGCTGACCCCTGACCTGGGCTGGCTCTTTCGGCAGGGGCCATGAGGGAGGGAAGATTCTCTCCAGAGAGGGCTCTATCTGGGAGGCAGTGATTGGCTTTCCCAGGATATTAAACAACTGGAAATCACCTAAATGTCCAAGAACAAGGGAAATGTCAGGTAACTCGAAGGACACCCACATGAGCAACTGTCATGACACCATCACTGATGATGTGCTGGAAGGTTCTATCTACACAGGTGAATGTTTTGAAAGTAAACGCGGCCATATGTCACCTGCATGCACACTCTGGCCTTGGTTGTGACTTGCACACAGTAAACACTGAATACATGCTGAATAATGAGTGCCTGAAGTCTGTGAGGGAAGTACTTCTAGTGAGGGAGTTGGAAGACCTACTCCAGACTGTCCATGGAGGTGACTGTGCTGTGATTGCTGAAGGAGTTAGTGGGGCCAAGAGATGGTTCCCTGTTCCCTGCACCTGCTTCTATATTGTTTGAGCTGAGCTACTTTGGAAAATTTTAAAAGTCAGGAAAAACTTGAAATATGGGAAGGAATACGCCTGAATGTTTAAGAACCAAGGGGGGCCAGCCCGGTGGCTTAGCGGTTAAGTGCACGCACTCTGCTGCTGGCGGCCCAGGTTCGGATCCCGGGCGCGCACCGATGCATCGCTTCTCCGGCCATGCTGAGGCCGCATCCCACATACAGCAACTAGAAGGATGCGCAGCTATGACATACAACTATCTACTGGGGCTTTGGGGAAAAAATAAATAAATAAAAGAACCAAGGTTACTGGTATCTGCAGCTTACTTTCAAACACATCAAAAATAAGGTAAATGCATAAGTAGATAGATACGCAGTAAAGCAAAGCATTAATTGCAGAAAGTAGGTGGTATATATGTGGGTGGTCACTGAACTGTTCTTTTAACTCTTCTATATGTTGAAATCTTCATTATAAAACATTGGGGGAAAAGATAGGGAAAATGAGGGCGTCAAACCATGGAGAAGGATTAATAAGTACAAAGTGGAAGTTGGTCTTCACAATTCAGTATTTTGTAGTATATTCAGAGAGTTGTGCAGCCATCACCACAATCTAATTCTAGAACATTTTCATCATCCCAGAGGGGAACCACATACCCATTAAGCAGTCACTCCCCATTCCCCCCTCACCCAGCCACTGGCAACCACCCAACTGCTTTCTGTCTCTATGGATTTGCCTGTTGTGGACATTTCACATAAATGGAATCATGCACTATGTGGCCTTTTATGTCTGGCTTCTTTCACTCAGCATGATGTGTTCTAGGTTCTTCCATGTTGTAGCATGTGTCAGTGCTTCATTCCTTTCCATTGTATGGGCATGCCACAGTTTGTTTATCCACTCATCAGTTGATGAGTTTTTGAGATGTTTCCATTTTTTGACTATTATAAATAATGCTGATCTGAACATTTGTGTACAAGTATTTGTGCAGACTTAAGTTTCCATTTCTCTCTGGTATATACCCAGGAGTGAAATTGCTGGGTCATATGGTAACTCTATATTTATCCTTTTGAGGAACCTCCAGACTATTTTCTGAAAAAGCTGCACCAACTTACATTCCCACCAGCAATGTATGACGGTTCCAATTTCCCCATATCCTCACCAACACTTCTTATTGTCAGCCTTTTTAATTATAGCCATCCTAGTGGATGTGAAGGTTGATTTGCATTTTCCCAATGTTTAGTAAGGTTGAACATCTTTTCATGTTCTTATTGGCCATTTATATATCTTCTTTGGAGAAATGTCTATTCAGATCCTTTGCCTGTTGTTTTGAGTTATTACTGAGTTGTAAGAGTTCTTTTAATATTCTGGATACGAGTCCCTCATCAGATATGTGATTTGCAAGTGTTTTCTCTCATTCTGTGTTGTCTTTTCACTTTCTTGATGGTGTCATTTGAAGCACAAAAATTTTTAATTTTGAGGAAGTCCAATCTATCTGTTTTTTCTTTTGTCACTTGTGCTTTTTGTGTTATAGCTAAGAAATCGTTGCCTAACCCACGGTCACAAAGATTTATGCCCAAGTTTTCTTCTAAAAGTTTTGTAGTTTTAATTTTAATAGTTAGTCTATGATCCATTTTGAGTTAATTTTGGTATATGGTGTGAGATTGGGATCCAGCGTCATTTTTTTGCACGTGGCGATCCAGTTTCCTGCGCCATCTGTTGTTGTTTTTTCAAATGACCTTTTCATTTTGGAAACAGTTTAGATTTATAGAAATGTTGCAAAGATAATAGAGAGTTCCTTTACATTTCTTTTTAACAGCTCTATGGTTTTCCCCTGTAGGCCTGCGTCATAACTTATATCCCATTCCCAAACTTCATGGATATTTATACTGTTTCCAGGCCTTTTCTATTCCAGATTTTCTTTAATGAACAGAGTTAACCATAATCATTTCTTTATACAAAAGTCTTTTTTTATTTATGAAAGTCACCACTGACTTGCATTTATAAAAAATGGGCTAGAATGTTACAGATTCATACGAAGTAGATACTTTTTTTAAAAGAGTTACTTTTTTTAAGTATACAGTTTGGTTGTGTTAAGTATATTCAAATTATTGTGTAACAGAAGAGTTTCTTATAAAATCAGAAAATGATGTAAAATAATCTCAATAATAGTAATGTAAGATACTTACTGAAAGTTTTCAGAGCCATAGCATCCCAGCCTCATGGACAGTTCTGCTCTCCGACTTTTCCAGGCTCTTTGGCTCCTGAGCCCCAGATACGGAACCAGGAACACACCTTCCCAGATGTCAAGTCTCCTTCCCTCCGTTCCTGATGACTTCAAGAATGTTTTTGACTGGAAAACCAGTGACCTTCCCAGAAAGCCCAAGCTCGTGGTGGGTGGAAAAAATGTTCGCCAAGATGCACACGGTTTCCCAGCCACATCACTGTTTTCTTTTCAAAGATATTTTCAGTTTGGTCTCTGCGTTGAAATGCTGTCTACTTAAGGAGTTTCAGGAGGGTTTATATAAGGGGCTGTGATAACATTGGATTCTTCTTCTACCAAGCTTTCACTAGAAACCCATTTCTGATATTTCTTGGTTTATTTTTAATAACCATCCTTTTTGGTTAAATTATACAGATTTTTAAAACTCATTTTTATTCAAGGATCTGAAGCAGAAAGGTTGGCTTTTACGTTTGATGCAGCCTCTTTATGGGACTGTGTTTATGAATAAGGAGCAAGTTCACTGTTGCTGGGTCTGACAGCAGTGCTGGGTCTGTGCCCAAGTTCCTTCCTGGTCCTGATGGCTCTGCTCGGCCACTCAGTGCAGCTGAGGTCGTCCCCAGGGCTTCAGGGGTGGATTGGACTGATTCCCACAGAAGAGAGGTGTAGAACAGTTGGCAGGGGTGGACGAGGGTGTTATGAGAAATTTTGCCTTGCCTTGAAGACCTCTGTTCAAGTAACTTTTGGGGCGTTTAATTGTATAGTGTTTCGAATGAGAGTGATTTATGTGGTAGTAATGGGACCCAGTTCTGAAAGCTTGGGTTTTTGGGTCTGCTTTTCAAGTGGGTGATTTCAAGATTGAAAACAATGAGCCTCATTCGAGGAAATACGGCGTTTTGTACAGAAAGCTTCTTTGAAACCAGGTCCTGCTTTAATCTCCAAAATGAAACACTTCGGTGCCTGGTTCCCACAGGTGTGTGATTTTTTTGTTGTGGTTTTTGAAATCCTGACTTGTAGGTAAACCTGGTGGGAGGAAAAAGGAAATACACAGGCTTTTAGAACTAAATAGCATTGAAAATAAAGCTCATTTCTGAAAAGGACCTTTTGTTTATACGTTTTTTAACCAAGAAGTTGACTTCCAAAACTTGAGTCGTTTCAAATTATGCTGTGGGTAACACCTAGGATTCATTTTGGAGGCTGTCAGAAAGTCAGAAAAAAGGCAATGTTAGCTGTTCCTTTTCAGATTTTCCCCAGTAAATGTCAGGCAAGAATTGGGCAGATGTGATTGTGACCTGGCTGGTCTTGGCAGTATTGAAAGAGCCAGGGATAACGGTGGGGTTTTGCTAGACCAGGGTCAAGTCCGCTTTTACTGCTGCTCGGCTAACATCCTTCTTCTTCATTGCGTCTATACTTTATTCCCTTGTCATATCTGGCTGTGCATCACCCCATGTAAGTAGCAGGGAATGTATGTAGCTGCTGAATTGAGCCTTGCCCAGGCCTGTGTTCTTGTCAGCAGGGACAGACGTGCCAAGATCCTGGTTGATCAGTCCTCATGCTATATGAATAGTGTGAGGAAACCTCTCTGCCGTATTCAGACTCGTGGTGAGGTTTCAGTGAGGCCAGACATTTGTGCATTGTGGGAATGAATTGTGCTTGGAGAAGAGAATGCTGTCATTGAGATTTAGTTTTAATGTTGCATTTTTCTCCAGAGCATGATTATCTCACCATTAAGTTCTTATAAGCAGCGTAGGTTTGGGGCTGCATACTGGAAGCTGCTGTATGTTTTTAAAGCTGCTGCTCACGGATGCGTTTGTTTAGGAAGCTTTTCAAGAACCCACGTTGGTACCAAAGGTTATCGAAGTCTGAATTTCGGCTGCATAGCGTCCCACAGCGTTTGAGTGCTCGTGTTTTGGGTCGGTTAGATGTGGGTTCAAATCCCATCTCCGCTCCTTCCGGTGAGACCTTGGCTGATTGCTTCCCTTCTCCAAGCCTCGGTTTCCACATCTCTAAAATGGGCCTGAAAGTCACACTTGCCCAGGGTTGTTGTAAGGTTCAGCAAACTCAAATGTGGGCCGGGTACTTGACAGACCGCCTGGTGCCCAGTAAGCACTCAGTACCTCTGTGTGTCCTCACTGCCCACATTTTTTCTCTTCTTACCTACAGTCATTCGTGCAGTCTGCACATGCACTGTTAAACAGCAATCACATTTTTAAAAATTGGAAACAATTTCCAGCATGGAAAACCTTTTCCTGTCTTGTTGTTCTCTTTCCACCATTTTCCTTATACATATCGGTATACATGACATAGTTCCGATAGTGCGTAAGGCAGTTTAGGTTCTGCTGTTTTCATTTTGGCATCGTTTCCTTTATATTTTCTGGACCGCCAGAGAGGCTTCATGGTTCTTATTTTAATTGCTGTGTGGCATCAATACATCTCTCTTTAACCTTGGCCCTCTCACTGGACTTGAGTTTGTACTTTGTCCACTGTTACAAATGCCACTGCTGTCACCAGTGTTGTGACCTGTGCTGGCTTCTCTCACGGAGTTATTTCCTGGGGGTGAATCCCCAGGGAGGCTACGTCATTATGGACCACCATTATGGCTTTAGTGGCTTTCGTTTGTTTTATTTTGTTTTAAAGTTTTGTACTACCAATGCACGTTCATTGTAAAAAAATTATAAAATACAGCTTTGCTTTAAGGGAAACCACCCATAATCACATTCCCCCAGAGAGTGTCACCCAAGGTATACAGCCTTCCCGCTCTTTCTCTGTGCACATGCATTGGGTATGGCGCGTATGTTTTCTTTACACTAATGGTATCTTTGTATCCTTCTAGACTGCTTTTCTCGTCTGATAATGTGACCACATTTCTATATATTTTCCTACAATACCATTCTTAATAACTGCAAGTAAGCCACTGTAAGGACATGCCATGGTTAATCTAACTAGTGCCCTGCTGATGGAGACTCGGCTTGTTTCCAGTTTTTGTCTGTTATAAATAACACTGTGTTGGGCCGCCCCCGTGGCTTAGTGGTTAAGTGCGCGCACTCCACTACTGGCGGCCTGGGTTCGGATCCCGGGCGCGCACCGATGCACCGCTTCTCCGGCCATGCTGAGGCCGCGTCCCACATACAGCAACTAGAAGGATGTGCAACTATGACATACAACTATCTACTGGGGCTTTGGGGAGAAGAAAGGAGGAGGATTGGCAATAGATGTTAGCTCAGAGCCGGTCTTCCTCAACGAAAAAAAGAGGAGGATTAGCATGGATGTTAGCTCAGGGCTGATCTTCCTCACACACACACACAAAATAATACTGTGATGAACATCCCAGTGTATCATCTCTAATGGCTTTTGGGGATCACTTTTAAAAAGATATCCACCTTGACAGCTTTGGACTAAGAACCCCAAAGAGGGCCGGCCCTGTGGCTTGGTGGTTAAGTGCGCGCGCTGCGATGCTGGCGGCCCGGGTTCGGATCCCGGGTGCGCATCGAGGCACCACTTCTCTGTCCATCCTGAGGCCGAGTCTCACATACAGCAACTAGAAGGGTGTGCAGCTGTGACATACAACTATCTACTGGGGCTTTGGGGGCAAAAAAATAAATAAAAAATCTTTAAAAAAAAAAAGAACCTCAAAGAAAAAATGCATCTTGGACATCTTATGTCCTACATCTTACATGAGTCTTTATTTGTTTGTTTGTTCGTTCATACATATGTATGTACGTTCACAGCAAAGAACTTGGTGCTAGATCCTTATCAGCTTTGACCAGGAGCGGTGTTAGGCTTCTTCAGTTTGCTTAACCTCTAAATAAGGACAAGCTTTCCAGCTCCACCCAGATAGCTGTTGCTTTGTGCAAATGACAGCAGCTGACATCACACCAGCTGGCTTTCCACCTTGGCCTTGGTGGTTAAGGATTTCAACCACCATCTAAGTAATAAATGCTCACTATTGCTTGCTCTGGAACATGGTACCTGGAGTCGCTGCTGAGGTGAGAAGCCACACATGGAGAATGAAAAGAGGGCTGCAGTTTGCAGCACCTGCCCTGGCCGCAAATTTTGGGGTTCATATTGGAAACCCCCCCATTTGCTTCCTCCACCCTGGCCATCTCAAGAAGTGGAACACATCCCTCCTTTGCATGGGTTTCATATTGCACTTCAGTTCTAGCTGCTCTAGAGCAGAAGTCGGAAACTGGCCTCCAGGCCAAGTCCAGCCCGACACCTGTTTTTGTAAATAAAGTTTTATTGGCAGCCAGCCACGCCCCTTTGAGTCTGCATCCTCTACAGCTGCTTTGGCTGCTTTCCTGCTGTGAGGGCAGCGCTGTGACAGAGGCCAGCTGGCCCACAGAGCTGAAAATATTGCCTGTGTGGCTCATTTATGGGACAGATTTGCCGAGCCCTCAGCTAGGGGGTGGTGGAGAATCTCAAGGTGTCCCTTCCCCCCAAAGCCACTCAAGTGGAATCGTCTGCATGCCTGGTGGTCTGGATTTTAATAAACACATTTGCAAACACATTTTTCAAATTTGCTGAGAATCAATCCAGCCATTTTCAAGTGACGTGGTTAATAGACCAATTTTATTTCTCTTGATAGTTCAGGGAGCGATCCCTCCTGGCCTCCTGCAGTCCCCTGAGCAGCGATGTGATAATGAGATTGGCACTTCTCTGAAGTGGTTACACTTGAAAAGCCAGCGAGGCTGTCATTAGCGAGGCATTTTCTTTTCATTTCAACCATTTCATTATCTTCTTAACCAAATTGGAGTTTATGAACTATTTGACAAACCTCCTGATGTTTTCCTGTATTGATGAAAGACGTATGCTGTTTGTGTATAAAGCAAAAGGTATGCGATTTTTTTAAAAGATATAAATTCTACTTGGGGGTTTGTTTTCACCACTCACTTGATGTTCATTATTATGCAGAGAAAAGCACTTGATCCGCTTCAAGCCCCTCTCTGGCACTTGAGAGTTCCTAGAAATGAGAGTTCGGTAAGAGCAAGCGTTCCTGGATGAGAAATCGGGCAAACGGGTCTGTAGCAAATTGGAAATTCAAAGTCTACGTTTTTCAATAAGAAAACTGCAAGAATTAGTTCAGCATATGGCTCAGTGGCTTTCTTTTTGTTTTGAATTGGACCAGGGGTTGGCAAACTGCTGCCTACTTCTGGCCCACTGCCTGTCTTTTCATGGCCTGT